TCAAATGATCCTGTTCTGATGGGCGGGTGGGACCTTTCGCCCAGTCCTGATTAGATGCCAGGCTGGGCACGCAGCTCAGCCCAGACAGCCAGTAACGGGTAAACCCATCACAAACGTAAGATTCTCACTCAACCTTGGCTCGGCGAATTCTACAGCATGGCTGGTGGTTAATAGGGGTCATCATTTGAAGATGTTGAGTTGTCGTCCGCCACTGTCTTACAATTATTAATACAGCAGCAGCAGGCTTGTGTTATCAAAAACCACGTAAGTGTCGCGACAGCCATATTACTGGACCCACTCTTGAGCCCAAGGTGAGCTACAAGTGTTCGTTCATGACCTTATGAGTGGCGATAAAGTAATCGTAAAGGGCTGACATGGGGCGAAAAGATTTGGAAAGAGAGACGTGAAGACCCACAAACTTTGCTGGAATAAAAGTAATACGTAGTAAGAGATGGATGATTTTTAGGGGCTAGATAGTTTCGCTTGCAGAGATCTTAGTTCTCACCACCATCACCCAAGAGAGAGGCTCTACTGCATATGAGGATCAGCAGAAGATGGACCTCGCAGATTAACTTGATGTTTGTCGGTAGGCTGGGTCTATTGTGGTGAATCTGGAACGGCGTGAGGGCAGCGTCTGCACTTGGTGGTGACATTGAAGTCGTGTTCCATGAGGTTCTAGCACGCAAGGATAGGCCTTTTCACGTATGAAAGAGACATGGGAGGGAAAGATATGGATTTGAGAATTCATTAGATATTTCTCTACGGACCAGTACTTTATTAGTTTGCAAATTGAATACTACTAGACTTATAGACTGCGTAGCACATTGGACTTCTCAGACCCAGGATAGACCATGTACAGTGCTCCTATTCGCGGTCTTTATTTAAAACATCTCGAATATTTTGCCCGTAATGGATAGCCGTTCAGCTCGGTATTCACCTGTGGAATCCAGCCACTCTTTTTGCGGAACTTTCTACCTAGAAAAATGAAAAAATTCTCAAAAAACTTGCATCACCAGCCGGTTGAGGTTCATGTATACATCTATATCTCGATTTTAACGAAAGTCATCTTGATCCACTCTACCATCGGCGTACAGAGTGCTTAGTATGCCCCGTAAACCGATCTGCTGACTTTTCCTCCATGATCAAGGATGGATGGTGAGTAGAGCTCCGGCCATACCATCTAATCTGATGGTGGCGAATTTATGATAATGGTAATAGTGATTTGTGCTAAAAATTGAAGGCGATTCAGACTGCGAAAGCGATTGGGAATTCTCATGCAAGTAAGATTGAAGATATTACTCAATCTCGGCTTTGCAGACTCTGCCGTGAGAGTTGGAGTTCTATAGGGGACACTACTGACAAGTGCTGAGTTTTTGTCTTCCTATAGATTGGGGTTGACAGTTTGAAGTGAGCTTTTATTTTCCATAGCAGTATCTGAGACTCAAATACGGAGTTGACTAAACTCTAATTTAAAGAGATTTATGTTGGTTGGCAGAAGACACTGATAATTTGTCAAAAGATAACCTCGAAAAACCTGCGAGTACAGTGAGTAGAAATGAGGCTGGCGGCACCTGGACCCGTCTTTACGAACAACTAGGACGGAATTGACTGGCATGACGCAAGCGGGATCAGCGCCATGGCTGCCCAACGTCGACATGGGTGCTCAACCCTTACGGAGCACGACTGCATAATCACATACGTATGGAGTGGCCGAATCAAGCGCATTTTCCAGACAAGCACAAAGCGGGCTGCGGAACAGCATAAGTCCTTGATGGCCAGCCTGGATAAGGTTATTAAGGTTGATATTCGTAGACGATCTGGTGCGAAATGGCGCTGGCTTTACTCGCTGATTTCGGGCAGCTCAATGGTGGAATGAAATAGCGGAACACTCACTATGATGGGGCTTAGGTCGAACTGGCCGATACAAGGGCCATAAGTAACCGTGAATAGATCAAGAGATCTGGATGCAAGATGCTGCTTTTCATCAGGCTTGACTAGTATACGGTGCAATTGCCCGAGAGATCTGAGGCTTTGGCCGACATGGTTGAATTAGAAATGTATTACTATCTGATAGACAAGTCGACCGAGTGTCTGATACTCCCCGCAACTAAAGCTGGCCATGGCCCACAGCGAGATCGTCCCAAAAGCTCGAGCAAGACGCTAGGGATCTAGGGACGAGACGTACAAAAGTCGTGATTGGAAAATGTTAACCATACCATGGAGGCGATGTGCTAAATGTTCGAAGAGACAATATGAACCCTCAGGGAAGTGCCTGTTTGGGATTGAAGAAATAAAATTTCATTACTTGATCATAGTGATAATTATGAAACCGAATACACCTTCCTCCTCACTGTCAGTAGTAGAGATCTTTGATGACCTCGACAATTACGGCATGATCCTCGTCTTGCTTGAGACCACTAACCACAACTACAGCGACAACACCCTCGACACCTGTAACACGAATTGGCACTCCGCCTCCATGAATGGCGTAGTTACCAGCCGAGTTGCCGAGGCCGTACTTTTCCCGGAAGGCGACTTCATCGCCGCCAAACTTGCACGCCATGAACCATGTACTGCACCCCCATCTGAGCACGGTGTTGCGTTTCCGCTCTACCCAGAGTTCGTTATCAGGCATGACACCACTGTGAGTGACGGAATGAAATATAGTTTGCTTTTGGTTGGCCAGGGATATATTGATGACGACAGGTGTAGGAATTGGTAATAAGCGGCTGCGTAGACTGGAGCCAAGTTCCCAGGCATCCGACGTCGTAAAATGCTCAAAGACGAGAGAAGCGTCAATGCGAGAGATAGATTCGAGCTGTTTACGAGAGAAGATTAGTGGCTATTCTGGGTTTGGGGGCAGCGAGGGGAGACGGGTGGTTGGGTGTGCTCACATCGCGTGGTGGTGGCCGAATCATCTTGGGCGAAACAGAACTTGATCTTCGTTCCGACATTTTCTGAGCCGCACTGGAAGGTTTTCTGACGTTTTCAGTCAGTTCGAAACGGGTGGTCTTGACGATGGACTTGGGCGGGATAGACCTCGGATGAGGTTTCGGGGTAGAAGATTTCGGAGTGGTAGATTTCTCGGAGATGAGCCGGGTGGGATCGGGAGTGTTTCTTCGACTGCCTTCGAGTGATTCAAGGATGGTGGAGAGCTGGTCGTGTCGGGCCCATTGGAATTCTTGTAGAAATTCCTGTTTCCTGGGGGACTGATGTGGTGGCGGCGGAGAGATTAAGGAGCACTGTGAATGGCAATCGCTGCTATAGGAACTGGAGCTGCTGCTGCCGCCGCTGCTGCTGCTTGACCGGGGACTGGCGGAGACCGCCACCGCCTTTTTTTTGCCAGGAGCTTTTGACTCCGGAATGCAGTGATGCTTATTTCCAAGACCGCACGAAAACATCGAACAGTATCGACACTTGGAGCTGCGATTACATGATTTTGAATAGAGGGCGTGGGAGGAGCAAGAGGAATAGATAGTGGTGAAGAACAATGTATCATGTCGCCCACCGCCAGCTATCCTCTCATTCACCCTCTCTAGATCCTTCCCCTCATCTTTTAATCTACCGACGCTCCATTCACACTAGGGAGACCGATGCAATTGGGCTGAGCCACTGCCGTAGTGGTCCTGGTCGGTTGAGCGGCGGTCGTTTGGCTCGAGTGCAATGGTCGCATCTAATCATACCCAAGCCCTGCTCCAGACGGGAATCTAATTCCTGCCACTTCCGAAAACACCGCCCCTCCGCAGCAAATGGGCCACTACGGCTACAAGTAATGTCAATGGTGAGAGCGCCGAGAATAGCCAGACATCATGGCATTGAGTGTCCAAGCAATCGTGTCTATCCCTGTTCGTGTGAAATCCTTTCCTGCCGGCATTTTCTTTTCTTTTTCACCCGTGAGATGAGTAGGGGTGGCTGCATTGACCAAGTGATGCAGGCGTGCAGAATGGTGTAAGAAGCTCCGCATTTGAGGTGTTTCCTTCACCTCTCTCCCGCCGACGCCAACCATCATCACCATCATCGAACGAGGAATCTATATCTACAGGCACAAACATTCTCTTGCATCACACCATTCATGGCTATCCTTCAGCGACACTTCTCTCATTGCTCAAAGTCTTCATTCTTCATGCACGTTCAACAGTAGACGCCAAGATAATACCAACGAGTCATCTCCTTTGACACACATACTCGCCTAAGAATATGCATACATGCGAATATAGCATCACGCCTCGATCCTGATAATCACCAGCATGCACATGCGTCTCGACTTTGCCTAGTTGCCCCAGTCATTGATAATTCACTCTTTGACAATATGGTATCATTACGAATTGATATATGCCGTAAACGCCAAGCCCGAATTGCCGCACCAGAGGTACTTTCTCAACAGCCTCACCCACATGAATTTGATGCCTGCCATAGCCGTTCGAGATCTAGCATTCAATCTGCTTATAGTTGGTCTGACTTTTCGACACGCTAGGGGCAGTATCCTTCTCTGAGAACGCCTGTGAGGAGCTTTACAAGTTAGGAATCGGCCAAGGTGAAGACGTTACTTCAATGATAAATAGCCACTAGCAATCACTAAAATAAACGGCATGACTAATCGGCAAATTATCAAGTACAGATAAAAACATACTTTTTAGTCCGAGATGAGCATGCCTTTTAGTCATAGATGATATGAAATGGGTAAACTAAGGAAACGGGCTGTGCAGTGTACTCTGTCGTTTCTAAGGGAAAAAAATCCCTGTAAAATTTTACAATCACTCTATATCATCAAGACATTAAACATTCGATCCACTTCAAACTACGCGAATCCAGACCTTGAGGATATAAGTAGCTACTGCGTCGGCGACGAAATTTAGTGTTTCCATCTTTTAGAAAGTTCTTACTGCACTTGGGAGAAATATGTGATCCTCTGGGGTAGATTGCCTGTAAATCTTGACGGGACACATTGAGAGAAGCTTTCATTATTCTCATCCCCAGCCAAAGTGAAACGTATAGCACCACTAATCTCTCTCCATATCCCCTCTTTCCAAGAACTCGTGATAAAGCCGGCTCGAAAAACCTTCTTCGGGCCATTTAGTCGGTCTACGAATTTTGACCCCATACAAAACGCCAACTGCCGCTACTGGAACAAGCTTTTCCACCTTGACTCGTAGGTGTTCGTATCTATACTTGCGACAGGCGTTGAGTCCAAGGGAAGCTATTTTCCGGATCCGGAGACAGTCAGGCACACATCTTTTGGCACATTTCCATTTGGTGAATGCTTTCATGAAGTTTCTGACCTGCGCATTATTTGCTTGAATGAACTCGGTTATGGGAATTCCGGTATATGGCTCATACCCAACCAAAGTCTGCTCCATCCAGAAGTGCCGGTAACTTTCTCGTCTAAAGAGTTGCAACTTGCCCTGATTCCACGCCAGTCCCTTTTCAAAGTCTATTTCGACTTTTTGCATGATAAATTGGCTATCTAGAACTGCATCCGCTATTTCTACTGGCACGTTAAATTTTATTGTTGGGAGACGTGTATCACGGTACGTCGTCATGAATCCATACCAATTAGCGGATAAAATTTTCTGTTGATAGACTAGACTGATTAAAAGTCTTTCCGTACATTGACGCGACCGAATAATCTTTGCAACAGGTAATGGACGTGGTCTTGCTACCCCAACCCCTTGAACTCCACCTGTCGGAGCTTCATCCTTTGGTTCGAAGTAGAGGTTATTCACATGTCTGAGGCATTCGGATTCTGAAATTTCATCGTTGCTAAATCCTTCATCGAGGCGACCTTGCAAACTGGTCAAGCCGTTGCTAACAAACCTCCATAAATCGTTGATTGATACTTTGTTCGAGCAATATACCGTTATATAAGTGCCGGGTCCATCTACGTCGACCAAAGTTCTGTAAATACCGGAGTTCTCGCCAGGGACTGGAAACAGTTGATTATAATTAACTCTGTAGCTGCCATAAGAAGGAGACCTATCCTCTGAAGTCGTGATGACGAGGCGATCCTTTTGCGACAACTCTTGGCCAGTGTATAAAAGGATTGCGAGGAGGCAGACCATTAGTGCAAATCTGCTAGTTATATATAGACCTCTCTAGTAAGATTTGCTGTGCTGCTGACGCGTTGGTGGCCTACAACGAGTCTTGAGCCTGTCGGGTGTATTTGCCTCGGAACTTGAGGCCTCAACGAAGAGCAGCAGGTTAAGGAAACGAGGGTTGAATGTGATGGGCATGACTAGTTGCTGTAGTAGTCTGAGAATTAACTAGACCTCTATTCCACTCTTTGCTAATCTCTTCTTCACTATCATTCACGAGTCATGTGTCGTCGAATTGTCGTCTCCTGGACTAGCCAGAAATGAGGAGAATGACAGTCGGAGAGATCGAAATGTGCGTGTATCTATTATTCACAGAGGTGTAGCTACTGCCAGAATGATATGATCATTAGATATGACTTGTTTTCACCTCGCCTGTTGAGGCGTCCTTTGGGCCCTTGGGAGTAAAAATACTTGCAACATTTATAGAGGCCAATTCGTTGAAAACGCCCTGGTTCTACAAACCAAAATCCATTGGTTTTCCAGGATTTACTTCAACAAGTGCGTTTACACTGTTCACCCGGTCTAGACTACGTCTTATCATCTTCGCATTCACAGCAGTCTCAAATTCTTCCGCAAGGCGAAACTGTTCAAAGCAGCCTCCGGTACGATCCACTTTGTCATTCTCTCCATATCATCGGCGCCGGTTATCGCGGCTTTGAATGACTCCTTTTTTGCCTGTCACCGCACCTCTACTCCATCCCTTGCCGCTGAGTACATGGCAAAGCCAAGTGTTTGAGCTTTCATGCCGCCTATCCCCACGCGCATATTGGATCAGCCACACCAGTGAACTTCTTTCGGCGTAGATGAGAGCGGGGGCCGGTATACTTACTTCTCACCTGAGTTGCGAGACTGCAGCAGGCCCGGTCAGGGTTTCAGTGGCTGTTACAGGGTATACTTGTGTCGATAATTCCTCTTTTGCCTCTCTTGCCGGCGGTGTTTGCAGCTTTCCGATATTCTGGGTCGACCGACACCCGGTGACCAGATAGCTGCTCACTATTAAGACATATCCGTAAGCTATGGGGCTCCATTCTCAGCAGCTGTCAGTCGTGTCCCCTATGAGCCTCCAGCTCTTACTGTAGAGTTTGTAGAGCCGAGATTGAGTAATAAAGTCCTCACGTCGACGAGGATTCCCAATCGCTTTCGCTATCTCTATCATCCTAATCCCTCGACATAGCCCCTTGACACCACTATCATCAAGCTAACCACGATCAGATCAGATGGTAGGGTCGAAGCCCTTCTCATCACCAGCCCTTGATCATGAAGGAGAAGCCATCCCATGAGTTTTCGGAGCGTACCAAGCACCCGATATGGAGATGGTGGATTGGTTCAAGTCGGCCTCGACTGTTACAGAGAAGGGAGATATAGATGAATATGCGCAGCTCGTGTGGTCCTGGTTTCTAAGCCTCTCCTGGCTGGAGATGCGGGTTTTTTTGAAACTTTTTCCCGCGCACGCAGTTTCCGATGCTATCGATATAATTTTTGTACAAGGTTTCATGAAGAAAGTGGTTGAATTCCACGGGTAAATGTGTTGAAATACAGGGCTAATCCTAGTAATCAGTATTAACATGTGTCCTTTATGATGTTTAGACCCACTATTGTAGTATATATGTAGCGAAGCTCCCCGAGCCCTGAGCAGAAGTCAGTCGAACCAGTTTATTCTTTTTACAAAATGCCGAGCTGAATGCTTATCCACAACGGGCAAAATATTAGACATCTTTTGAGTAACAAATGCGAATAAAAGCACTGTACAAGGTCTAGTCTAGGACTGAGGAGCCCAATATTCTGTATAGTGTATGACTAAGTAGTCCTACAAATACATACACAGTGTGATGTGCGGTACCTACTAGACTCGAGCACGATCTCAAGTCACAAGTTGTTGAACGGCACGGAGATACTTTGAGAAATGTTTGAAGCGGATTGAGTAATCTCTCCTCTTAAGATTCTGCCCTCACCAGCTTACTTATATTCGAACCATTTATCGTCTATCATATCATTTCTACTTGGCCTATCAGTCTTGATTGAGCCAAGCTAATTGAGAAAGAATCGGTTTCCCATGTCAATCTCCCGAGAATTACAACCTCGAGAATCTCTAGCAAGAGCCGCGCGCATAAATGAAATTAACGAACATGATACGGTAAGCCTGACCAAAGCGCGCGCGTAAAGGAAAGGGGAATGACATGGGTTGAAAATTTACAAATTATCTCTCTATCAATACTGGCAAATTTTGCGCGCGCAAAAGACTTGTGCTTCGACACAAACAATGTGGGTGACTGAGCTACTCAGCGTTTGGCAAAGGGCTCCCATGAGTAAAACTATCAGAATATCTCCTATGGATCTTTTGCTTGAGGTAACTCAATAACAATAATTTCATTCATTCGTATCTATCTCCATTTGATAGGGAGCGCCAGGGTCTTAGTGACCTTGAACACTCGTCACATGATATCTGGTCATATAGCTATTACTGATAATTACCCATTTATATCTGGGGCCTTTGATAATGTGTCACACGAACGACTCATTCATAATCTCAGGGAAAAAGGAATTCTAAAGTGGATGAGCCTATACATAAAGTCCTTCCTCGAAGAAAGAACAACATCAATAATGTTGGGATCATTCAAAGGGGACCGAATGTCTACCAGCACCGGGATACCGCAAGGCTCAGCTCTCTCGCCAATACTCTTTCTATTTTTTGTTTGCACAATTCTCCCGTTGCTCGAGACAAGAACTACGACAGCAGTTGGATTTGTAGATGACACTAACATCCTGACTGTAACGGCTTGTGAGCCGATTGTTGTGTGGCACGTGATTGTATTCACGTGGCTCTATAATTCTATAGTAGTTTAGCTATATTCTAGATCAGTTCAGCTGTAACCGGAATAAGAACGTGTGTTCTAGAGATCTTCATAAATGTAAAAATACTTGAAGTAATACTCTAATAGTTAGCCATAGAGAAAATTATAAACTACCTTCGTATATCTGATCGCTCTAGAATCGCCACTCGAACCGTGACACTGACATGGTCAAACTCGACCGAAGAAAACTGCCGAAAGTTGGAGGAAAAACACGAAGTATGTGAACAGTGGGCAAGAAGACATGGGATCAGATTCGCGCCTGAAAAGTATCAGCTGATGCACTTCTCCAGAGCCAGAAAACGACACAACCTCAAAGCGACAATTGAAATCCAAGGCCATACCTCAGTCCCACAGCCTTCCCTTCGAGTTCTCGGAATCTACCTTGATTCCAAGCTGTGCTTGGGAACTCACATCAAGAGCCTTCAACTGAGGGCAGAGATGCAGGTTCAGGGTCTCAGTAGGCTAGCTCAATCAACGTGGGGAGCCACATTTCACAAGTCAAAGATACTCTACAGCACGATTGTGGGGCCGGCACTAACATACGGGTCACCGGTTTGGGCTGAGATTGGGCCGGGTGGAAAAATACCAGAGAGGATAGTAAGACCTCTCAGAAGCATACAGAGGAATTGTCTTAAAATTGTCACCGGGGCATACAAGTCCACGAGCACGAGAGTGCTGGAACACGAAACAGCCACCCTTCCGATTGAAATATTTTTGAAGTAACAAAGGCTTCAATATTTAGGTCGCACAAAGGACTTACCTGTCCAGATGACAATCCAGTCCGCCTGTAGTAAAATCAAGTTGCCCAGAAAAGGGAGACAAGATATACGAACAGTTAACAGGAGAATAGAACTTGCCAATTGACGAGAATGTGCGGTGAACAACAAACCAAGAAGACACATACAGAGATAGTGAAAGTTATGGCATACCAAGAGTGGTCGAAATCCTGGGCCAAGCAGAAACAAACTCAGAAGCCTCAGCAGTTTGCAGCTGCAGATTCCGAAACTTGGAGAGCAGCCACATTTTACCAAAGTAGAGAGTCTGAACGGAAAAAACCGAGTTTTCAAGGCTCACCATTCTTCCTACACCGTAACCTGACAAGGGCCCAAAGCAGCTTGGCAATTCAAATACGAAGTGAGCACATGGGGCTTAACTCGTATTTACATAGAAGAAACGTACCCGGAGTATTAAGTCCAGGTTGTCCATGCGGCTACTAATCACAGAACCCCAAGCACATGATTATGTCCTGCCCCCGATGATCAAATGGTAGAGCTGAGATCTGGAGACAAGCCAAAGATCGATCCTATGAAGCGATGTTAAATAATCCTGGAGATATAAAAAGGATAACACAGTGGATCCTAAACCATGGTTGGATAGAGCAATTCCAGATGACAAAAGCGGTCGAAATACTGCTGAGGGAAAGGAAAAGGTCAAATAATGCTGGGGGAGGATAGAGATGATCTGGTTAGTTTACATGGATGGCACTATAGTGTAACTGCGCTTCCTGAAGAAAATATGTGAGGACTATAGACAACAAATAGAAAGGTGTGGGAGGTTTTCACCATAAAGGTTTCCTCCCGGGTAAATATTATAGACTGTAGACACCTGCATGGGCCCATAGGGCGCCAAATCAGGATAATGAAATCAAATTCAAACCTCTAGAATCACACCGGAACTGCGCATGCGTGAAAAAGACCTCGAAAAGATCCTCCTAATGAAATCCAGACATACCAGACCGAACTACACGCATTGCGGAGTAGACGAAGATTACTTATCTTCGATCGCTATCAGCTTTGGTGAGGTCTCGGCTGGTAATGATCTCGGTGGTGGGAATGTTATTCCATCACGAAATCAGAAAATAGACAGATAATTATATGTAGATTAAAGCCTAACACTTTTAACTAACTAAATATAAGTTCAGTAAAACCAAAAACCTCACTGATCCTAACCTTTTATCTCTGATCCTTAAATGTCCAATATCTTACGATTCGCACAGTATTGACTTGACAGTCAACGTTCACTTCTATCATTTCAGATAAACCTCCGAAACCTTAATACTTCCAATATGTCAAAGCATGGGTAAAGCCGGGTCCGATAAGCAACGTTATAGATATT